GGATGGTTGCATGGAAGGATGAACAACCTGATTCTTAATTAACTTGTAAACTTCATTCTCAAATAAAAGAATAGATGCTTCCAAGTCTGGCATGCAGAAAATACTGTTTATTTGGACTCAACTTTTTTGTGCTGCTCCAAGGGAGCTGGTCCCAGCTGGGAACGGGGGGCGTGGGGGTGTTAAGACCTGGGACATTGGAGACCTGAAGGCTCCAGATCGAAGAGCTGAGGACGAACTCTGCAGGGATTCCCCCGGCACTTCGGCTTACACCGTCCATTGCGGGAGGCCAGGTCCGCGGGGGACCCCTGATTTATGCTATGAGGACGGGGTCAGAGGCGTTAAACCTCTCCAGACACAGTAGCTTATTTCTGCTTTATCCTGAAGCGAGGAGGAGGAGGAAAACCAGGCTACGAATAGCCAGTGTCACCGCTCAGTTGGTGCTTGATAAAAACCTGCCAGAAAACCCATTCTCCCGTACAATTTGCAGCTTAATACCTTCCCAAATACAGACCCAAAGCTCAATGAAATCCATAAAAGGCTCCTATTAACTGTCCTATTCTTGAGTGAAGCCTTAATGAGCCAATCTGTCATGTCCTCTAGCACGCAGGCTGAATTCCCACTTGAAATTTTGTACTGCCAGAGAAAAAGCTAAAAAGAAAACAGAAAAAAACCCTCTTTGCTTTACCAGAAAGACGTTCTGGGAGCTCTTTGTCCCCAGACCAACTTGGAACTTGTGACCGCGTGTGAAATATTTGTCAGCTAGAAGTATCTCCCTCCTCCTGCGAGCTGAAATTTCCAAGCAAACCCTGGAGCATCCTCTTCCCAGCAGGCAGGTACTTCTGGCTTCCCCCCGTGCGCAGGAGTGCGGTTTTGGCACGGCAGCCACGAGATGGCACTCCAGGATAGACACTTCCCTGGATGCAGACGGTCCCGATGTGTTTCTCCCCCTCTAATCCCCGCTTGGGAGCTTTCAGCTGGTTTGTGTCGTTGTTGCGCGTGCGAGCGTGGATGTGGGAAGGGATGCTTTGGCCGTGGGGGATGCTCTCATGGAGGAAGCCCGTTGCAGGGCGGCATTTGCCGGCGACTTTTGGCGCCGGTGCGGGATAGCCGTGCCAGAAGAGTTTAGGAGCTGCCTCCTGGCACAGCATTTGGGCTCTTGGTCCTGCCTGGGACAAGGACACGGGCTTCCCTCTCCTGTCCCGCTCACCAGGAGCACAGCTACAGCCCCCGGGTGCTCCTGCCGGGTCTTGTCCATCCTGGCAGGGGCTGGTCCATGGGTTGCCGACCCTCAGAGCCATGGCTCCCACTGCATCGGGTTCATTTCTTGTTGCTCATAACAGTGAGAAAATTCCTGTGATGGAGCCGAGGTAAAGCCCCGTCTGCCCAAAATCCAGGCTTGGATCCCTCTCGGGCACGAGGAATTCCCACCCACTGGGGCTCAGTGACCCAGGGCTGTGTGAGCTCAGGGAGCTGGGGGGGGATAAATCACATTTCCACCATCCCGCATCATATACTCCTGCCTAGTCAGCTCAAAGAGAGGTCAAATTTTGCATGACGAGAGGAGAAAAAAATTCATTCCTAACCCTGTTTGCCCGGTTCTCTCCCTCTGCATCCCTGTTCCCATCAGGTAAGCAATCCCCGTCGGCGATGGAACCTCGTTTATCAATAGATAATGCAAATAGCCCCTTACCCCTCAGTGCAGTAGAAATGAAGAAGCATCAGGGACTCTTGAATCTCAGCTCTTTCACTGCAGCTGCTCGGGAGGAAAGAGGCAGCCTCCATTTTTAACAGGATTTTATATGGGTGGAGGTAATTTCGAAAATGGGAACTGCTACTTTAAAGGAGTGAAACAAAATTAGAGAAGGAACCATCCTGACCATTGCGAGGGAAAATGATCATAAAATAAATATATTAGGTTTTGGTGGGTTTTTTGCACGGTAGTAAAGACTATAACTGAGGACTAGCGGGTGTTTCCAGGCTCTTGGTGACCATCTCATAGCACAGACTGGGTTATTATTGGGAAAGGGGCACGTAATAGAGGTTCTTTACGGGGAAACAACTAGGCGTAACTAACTGGATTGTTCTAGACTGTGGAAACTGAAATAAGATGTCTCCTCTAAGCCTTCTCAGATGTGGATGTGCTGCTGTGAAAGCCTCACGATGGGAGGGCATGCACTGGGGGAGAGCCATCTCCTGCCCTACTCTCTTGGGTGGTCCAAGGGAAATCTCCGCCAAGCCACGTCCTCCTGGGGCAGTCACTGCCCTGAGATGTCCTTGGGCTGTCGGGCACCATGTAGGGGACACGGGGGCAAACCTTGAGCCCAGGGACAGGGAGCTACTGGGTGAGCCACCGGTGGGACGTGATTGTGGGTCTGCAGGGATCTGCTCTGAGACAGGCTGTGTCTGGGATGGTGAGTTCGTCCTCCCTGGATGGAAACTTGGGTTTTCCACAATCACTCACTTGGTGTAGCCCCACTAAAGGAGCCAGTCTTGACTTCCTAGGGACCCACCCCTCAGCCCCTTCAGGCTATGACGGCAGCTCAAAAGGCCTTAGTCAAGACTGTGTTGACCATGTGCTCCTTAGCCACCATGAAGCAGCAAGTGTATGACAGCTTCCTTCCTAATTCCTGACATTTTAATCACAAATAAATGTGCAGCCACGAACTCTGAACAATTTATGCTTTATTGGTGTGTGAGAGAGATTCCTTGGGGCTCTCTTGCTATGCCAGAAAACATGATTGTGGTCTGGTTGCATAATGAAACCACAGAACTGCTGGCATCGTGGTGGATCTAAATAGCCTTGGCCAGTCCAACACGGTTGTTGGCCTGGTCAAAGATGCTGTAGTACACCCTGATGAAGATGTCTCCCAAGATCCAGAGGTCCCCGGAGGTGTTCTGGAAGCTGCTGATGCAGCAGCTTGGTCATTCTGCATGTGAGCAAGAAAAGGCAAACGGGGGAAACATGGGATAGTATCTTTTCTTGCATTGCTCTGGAGGCCCATGGCCCTCCATCCCCCATCTCCCATGGAAATGGGAGAAGCCAAGGTGACCAGAGCCATTGGAGGGAGTAGAAGGACCTTGAGAGATGCTCCTGAAACGAGGACCAGGTTCCCTGTCCTGGTGTCAGCTGGGACAGAGTTAATTTTCTTCATGGAAGCCAGCATGAGGCCGTGTTTTGGATTTGGAAGAAACAACGCTGATAACACGCTGATGTTTTTGGTTGGTGCTAAACAGTCAAGGACAATCCAGCTTCTCATGCTGGCCTGCCAGCGAGAGGGTTGGGGGTGCACGGGAGCTGGGAGGGGGCACAGCTGACCCAAACTGGCCAAAGGGCTATTCCATACCATATGACATCATGCTCGGTATATAAAGCCGGGACGAAGAAGGAGGAAGGGGTGGAGGGATGTTGGGAGCCATGGCGTCCGCCTTCCCAAGAAACCATTACGCGTGGTGGAGCCTGGAGATGGCCGAACCCCTGCCTGCCCGTGGGGAGTGGTGAATGGATTCCTTCTGTTGTTTCGCTTGCGTGCGCGGCTTTTGCTTTACCTGTTAAGCTGTTGCTATCGCAAGCCGTGAGTTTCCTCACTTTTACCCTTCCGATTCCCTCCCCTGTCCCACCGGCGGGGAGCGAGCGGCTGCGCGGGGCTCGGTTTCCGGCTGAGGCTGAGCCACGACGCCTGCTCAAGGTTATCCAAGGCGCACGCAGGGCACCGAGCCGGGCCGATGACAAAGACGACATCAGGCGTGCGTGTCCTGCCCGGCCCCGACTGTGCTCTGCGTGCTACTGACGCCGGAGAGCGGTCCAGCCGCGAGCGACACGCGCCAGTTCGAGATGCATTTCGCGATGCTGCTCGGGGGACAGGCAAAGCACAGGGCCGTTAAATAACCAGCCGGATCTTAGTGATGTTTTTGAACCTCTTTTCTAAGGGTTAAAGCTGGGTAACCCAAAGAGTCACCTCTTTACCCAAAGAGACCCTAGAGTCTTTTGCTGCCTGGAGTTTGCAGTGCCAGCTGGTATCACAGCCCCTGTTGCACACATGGGCACCGAAGCACTGAACACAACCCAGAAGACGGGACCCAAGTAGTTTTTGGACCATAGTTTTGCTCTACGCATCACCAGACATCCCCGAAAGCAGAGGCTTTGCGCAGAGAACTTGACTGTGTCCCAGGCACAAAGCATCCCCATTTTTTGTGGCAATTACGAAAAGTGCTATGGATTTTGGCCCCTTATCCTTCTGCATCCCACAGCCGTGGGGTGTTAGATGGCAGTGGAAAGCCTCTGATGTTGATGGGTCCAAGGTCTCTTTAGAAATGGTGGTTAGAAATGAACCTAGACCAGCAGAGCTGTTTTGTTACCTGTCCATGGAGGTCTGCCAGTAACCTTGGTGAGAGACCGAGATCCAGTTGATGGAGCCGGTGAAATAAGACTCATCGATTCCCCCAAAGGTGACCATACGCCCTGTTGTCTCAGTGGACGATGCGGAAAAGAAAAACCGCGCGGCTTCAGTGCAGGTAGCTTAAAACGGCAAGGCTGTGTGTCCCGCAGGGTGAGGCGATGCCACGGCCACGGCCACGGCCGCTCCCCTCCTCACTCCAGAGCATCAGCGGGGCAGTGGTACAACAGCAGCGTGTGCCAGGTCCTCCGGACCCACAAAAAGGGAAAAAGGGAGCCACGGTGGAAGCAGGCGGCTGGAAACAAGAGAGGTTTCCCCGCAAGCCATAAATTCCCCCGTGAGTTTGGTGGCCACTTGCTGCAAGTCCCCCAGCCCTTGCGTGTCGTGACCCAGCGCAGGAGACCAGCAGCACCAGTGGAGGAGCTGGAGCCACCAGAAAATGCAATGATGATCTGCACGAGGTGCATCTCCTGCCACGTGAGACACCCACATGGCTACCGGGCCAGGGAGACCAACACGAGGTTCTCTTCCAGCAAGCCCCCGTTCGCCAAGTTAACAAACACCGGCGTGATCCCATCAGCAGCCAGATTTGGGGAGCCCAAGCCCAGGATCCCATCAAATTTGACATGGCCGAAGAAATGAAGACTTCCAGCAAGGCTGAGCTGTAAGGGACGCAGGGAGCAGGAATCCTGCTGGATTGCTCTTTAGACCTGCCGTTTATTACCCTGCTTTCAGCAACGGTTTAGCTGTGAGCATTTGCTCTCCTCCAGCAACCAGGGATCCGCAGGAGATCCCGTCACCGGCTTTGGACAGATGGGGAAACTGAGGCACTGAGCACTAAGCACATCACCCTGTGGAGTACAGCTCTGAGTGGGTCCTACACCCCAAACACTCATCTCTCCAGTGCATTTCACAGACGCTATGGACCCAGCACCACGGGGGCTGGTCGTTGCACTGGCTAGGTAGCCCCTGCTCCCCTGGCCCCATCTTTGGGCTCGATTGTGCAGTTACAAGCCCAGGACACGCTGCTGGACCCAGCTCCGCCGAAACGGGGAGCCCTGCCTGCCCCTGCTGACGGCAAGCCAGGCTGGTGCAGGAACCCAGCAGTTGGAGGAGCCGGTGTCGAAGACCACGGTGAAGTCCTGCGGTGGGGAGCCGATGGAGACGGTCCCACAGCACTCCATCTGCGCGGCAGCAGGACCAAGGGTGGCTTTCAGGGCATGAAGCCAAACCTGGAGCTTCCCCAGGCTTTCAATCCTCATGGTCCCCTTCTTCATGGGGACACTCCGCTTCTAGCAGACCTGCTGGGGTCACGTTTCAGTGTCCTGGCTCTGTCCAAGGCCACCAGCATGAGCAGGGAGGGGCAGAGGATGTGAGCTGAAAGCTTTGGGGTAAAAAGATTCGGGTTTGGTCCGTGCACAGCACAGACATGGGCATGGGCATCCCACAGAGCACCCTGCGCTGCTGGGGACAAAGCCAACACTCCAGCCGAGGGTGCTCAGCAGGGGCTTCACGGCCACTTCGGCCGTTGGGAAAAGCATGTGGGAATTCGGTGCCGATGTCGTAGCAGTGGTGCTGGAAGAAGAGATGCAGCAAGCCAAGCCCTTCTCCCTGAGGACTTCTCACAGCTTCTTCCCCCTTTCCAAGGGCAGCCTGGCACAAGCACCAAGGGAAAAATACGTTAGGCAGGATTTTGCTGCCTGCAGCGTGTGACACCTTCCCTGTTTGTGCTGCTCCAACTGCAGGGGAGGGGAGGGGAGAGGAGGAGAGGAGAGGAAGAGGAAGAGGAAGAGAGATAAGAGATGATAAGAATAAAATAAAATTAGCCTAGAGCAGACTAGGAATAAGACAGGAGAGGATAGGATAGAACGGAACGGAACGGAACGGAATAGAATTAGAAGAGAAGAGAAGAGAAGAGAAGAGAAGAGAAGAGAAGAGAAGAGAAGAGAAGAGAAGAGAAGAGAAGAGAAGAGAAGAGAAGAGAAGAGAAGAGAAGAGA